ATGAAAAATTATCGACTTAGCGCGCAGCGCGCGCGCTGGAGAGAGTGAGTGAGTGCAAGAGAGAACACCGTCAATAATAACAAACCGATGGATGATGATGACGACGATGGCGATGAGAAGGAAGAAAGAAAAATGAAGCGCAATAAATTACAATTTACTCTTTTCTTTGAATAAATTTTTCGATATATTCGATGGAAAAACGAAATGAAAAAGGCGCAGAGGAAAAGAATGAATAAAGCAAAAGTTAAAGCAAAGTGACAGAATCGCACCACACCACCACCGCAGTCAGCGCAAACAGTGTCACGCAGATTCACCCAAGGAAAATCTGATAGAGAAAAAAAAACCAACAACAACCAACCAACCGACCGACCGAAATAACATACACACAGCACATACATTTTTATCGAATTTTCCTTCGTGTGTTCGGTGTTGTTATATTCCGTCTTAGACGATTCGTTTCTTCTTCGTTTTTTTTTTCATTTTATTTTATTTTCTTCTTTTTTTTCTATTTCGTTTTCTTTTCCTTTCTGCGGGGACTTGATGAGAGAGTGCGAGAGACTTTCTTATGCTGTGTTTTATCTATGAAACGCTCATGTATGTTAATACATTGCGTTAAGTGCTTCGGAAAAGGGAGTAGGCCAAATGCAATATATATATATACACACCAGCATCGACAACAGCAACGACGACAACAGCAGCAAGAGCAGCAACGACAACGATACACACAGCGCCGAAAAACACACCAAGAGATGGAGAGAAAAAAAAAATTTGTATGAAGAACGTAGACCGATGAAACGAGCGTAAAACATACAAATGGAGGTATTTTGTTTTTCGGTGGTGCTCTTTTTTTCAATGGTTTTGGATATATTTTCATTTTATTTTAACGTGTGTGTTATTTCGTGTGCTGTTGTGTGTTGCTTTTTTTCATTTTATTTTTTTTCGTTGGAATTTTTCTTGGTCGCACTCTCTCTCTCTCTCTCTCTCTCTCTCTTTCTTGAAAAACCGACTGCGTAACACAATCTCCTCACGGCATGTTGTGCAAGCAGAAACAAGAGAGAGAGAGAGAGAGACTAAAGAAGACTCGCATTCGATGTGTACATACGGTATGAAGCGTATGTTGAAGGATATGGCCAAATAAGCCATAAAGTGGATATGCGTTTGGATAGATTATTGAAAAATTATATTTTCTATGGTTTCGGATGATGTGTTATTTGTTTAGTTAAGTCGTGTTTTTTTTCTTCCTTCTCTCTCCATTTCATTCGGTTGGTTCGGTCCGTGCTCTGTTCGCTCCGCGTGCTTTCGACCATTCCAATACCGTTCTCTCACTCGAAGAAGTCATTTGCTTGCATTCAATTCGTTTTGGGTTTGTCGAGAGTGTGTACACAAACATACAAACACACACACACATTTTTTTCCTTTTGGAGTTTTCATATCCACTCGAAATAAACAAAAATATGTTTTTGAAAAATAGAAAAAATTTGTTTATGCCACGTCTGGGGATCGGGTTGTTTTATTTACACGCACATTCGAAACCATAAAGAAAATATGTCTATATATTTCCGAAAGTGTGATTGCGACGCCCGCAAAATAGTACCAGAAAAATGTAAACAGCGTGTTGGTTTTATTTTTGTCCCTCTTCTCTTCTTTTCTACTTCAATTTTTCTGCTGTGTCGGGTTTTTATTCTTCTCGCTTTGCATTCGTTTATTGTAAGATCTTAAAACAGGCGAACAATTCATGCATTTTAATGTTAAAACGCTGCGATAATCATGTATGCAATTATCGAAGATTATGTGCTTGTAGCGATGTGCAATGTACAACACGGCCCATTTCAATTCGTACATTCTTGTTCGCTTCTCTCTCTCTCGCTCCGTCTCTGTTGCTCCGCTCACCCGTGTTTGCACTGTTCTTTTCTGCGCTGTGTGTGTGTGAATCGGAGGTGGTTTATTCAGAAAGCCTCCAAAATCTCAACCATAATACGAATCGAGGTACGAATGCACGATCGAACGAATGCCTGCTGAACAAGCAAATCCGAATGGCGAATGCAGCTAAAGGAAAAAAACGGGCTAACAGCAACAACAACTACAACTGCATCAGCAACGAGAACGAATAACATGAACAAAAACAAAAAAAAAAACAAAGGAATTGGGAATAGAAGATGGAAACATTTTCTAATGTATACAATCATCGCACATATTCATTAAAAAATCAACAACGCACAAACAGTGAATTCCTTTTACAATCGATGAGAATTGAAATAAAATTTATAAAAAAGGGAGAGAGAGAGAGAGAAAAAAGCGACACGATTGAAACAAAACGAAAAGAAAAAAACCAAAACGAGAATGAAATGGAAGAAACAATAAACGCATCAGTGGCGGCGGCGGCGGTGGTGGCGGCAGCGTTAAAAGAGAACGTTCGTCTTCCAATACCGCCTATGAAGATATGCATGTCTCTTCGATCATTCACTTTGCTTCAAATCGCATTCATAATAGCCTATTATTTTAATAGTTACGTTGATTCACATTAATCGATCGTTAATGAAATTCAACCGAATGGATTGCAACACATTCAGGCCTCTAGCAGCATAATAGCAACAGCAACAGCAGCACCAACAATTGAAACCGAATGAGATTCGAATGCATAGAGCTCTCGCTGCATAAAACAGCCATTGCTCTTCGTATGTATCAATTTTGCCTTTCTACATGGTTCGACTCGGTAGTGCTGTTACTGCTGCTGCCGCTGCTGTTGCTGTTGCTGCTGAGTGTATGCTATGTGTGTTGCACAAATCAATTGCATATTTTTGTTGAAACGCTAAGAATGTTATAAACTCGGTGCAGCATCGAAACCGAGATGCCCCGAGATTGAAACCAATGAGTGCATCAATATTGGCTTATTTGTCAACTTGATTCGTTAGCCAGTTTCAAGCGAGTCGCGCGCGCTCAAAATGTTGTTTTGATTGTTTTTGTTGTCTTTTTCTTTCGCTTAATTTGATTTTGTAACTCTTCAGTTGCGAGAGCGGGTTCGCGCACGCCCCATTCCGTGACAACTCTTCCAGATGACTAAATCAAATAATGTTGTGTGTGTGTGCGTGTGTGTGTCGTTTGTTGCTGGTTGTGAGTTTTTTTTTCGCTTCGCTTTGCAATTCTTTCAAATATGATCTTTTGCAAACTTTTCAATCGCGTCTCTCGGTTTTGCTGCTCCATTGATTAAATATTTGGTTTTCATGCTTATTTTGTATCTTTGTTAGTTTGTCTCTTTTTTTTTCGCTCTCTTCATCTGTCGTTGTCTTCTATTTGGGTTCCGTAACCGTTTTTTTTTTCTCTTTCTTTCCATTCTGTTTACGTTGCGATCTCTTTCACTCAGGTCAAACAAGAGATGAAAACAACTCAAACAGCAAATAGAAGAAAAATGTAAAGAAACAAAAAACAAAAATTGTCTACATAAATGTGGTGAACGTCGTTTATAAAGTCGCACTCGACAAAGTACTTGAACCCAATGCGATGAACCGATTCCAAAATGATTGTTTTTTTTTTCTTGGATTTGTGTCTACTTGTTTTTGGTTTTTATTGTGTCTGTATCTTTTGCTGATGAATTCTAAAATACTGGGATTGATGATGGTGATGAATTAAACATGCAAACGGTACCTTAGCAAATAATCGCACTGCATACGTACGCAGAACAACTCCTCAATATTCTGTTGTGTCTCAATCAATCGAGGATGGCGTTTTATTTTTCCGAAATTCCACACCAAATTCGCCATACACACACTGGGTGATTTAAATGAACTCCATCTCTCTCTCTCTCACTCTCGCTCATTCTATTCTACACTCACCCACTCTGTCTCTCTCTCTTCCTCGGAAATGATATGCAGATTGAAGCATTGGCTTAAAGCAGCGGAGAGTTTTTGAGTGAGTGAAAAACCTCAAGTTAAACGGGAAAAACCTTCGGCCCCCTTTTTTTGTGTTACTCTCAAATTGCACTGACTTACGTGATATGTATAGTACACACGGGCTAGTGAAGCCATTCGGGCTATTGTATTCATACGACCGACAACGACGATGTCGACGATGGCAAACAACTGCGACGACGACGACGACGATGATGATGACGGCAACGATGGTGTTGTATATAAATCAAACAATGAATGATTACAATTTCATATTTCATTGATGCAAATAAATCCAAGGCAATATAAATCAGCGCACGATTTCAATCGATATGGCTTCTTAGCATTGCATTAACATATACACACATTCTCTCTCTCTCTCTCTCTCTCTCTCTCTCTCTATCTTTCGTTCACTCTCTCACTCACTCTCTTTCTTTCCTTCTTTCAATCGCTCTATTTTTCGCAATTTTTCATGACATACCGAAGACCGAACGAACAAATAAAAAAATTCTCTTCACTCAGCCGATTCGTATCGCATCGACGAATAGAAAGCACAAAAGACCATCCACAAATAAATACAAATAAATCGAAAAAAAAAAACAACAACAACAGCACCACTAAATCGATATGCTAAAACACACTGTGGACTTTTTTTTATATCTTCGATTTGTTTCTATCTTGTATTCTGCCATAAATACATTTGTTTTGACCAGCAATAAAAATAAAAACAAATCAAGCACAAACTAGAAAATTCAATTCATTACGAATTTGCAGGTTTTTTTTTCCTACTTCATTGAAAATGGAGAAAAGAAGACAAGAAAAAAAAAAGATTTCTTTTCCATTTGGATTGTTTTGTGGCCGTCGAACATAGTCACTCGAATGTTGTTACTTGTATTCGTTGTTTTTTTTTCTCTCTCTCGTCTCAAATTGAGACTCTCAATGTATTCATTTCTTCGCTTTCATTTACTTCAACTTGAAGAACAGACTTGATAGAAGAAAATTTGATATAGATACTCGATCACAATTTTAGCCCATAACTTCGTACCGAATCAATATATGAACTGTGTGTGTATGTAAATTGATTAAATTTTGGTCAGATTTATGCACATCACTTACTTTATGCTGCTTTCAAAAACTATTTATAATGTTCCATTTTCAATACACAAAGATTGTTTCTTCTTCTTTTTCAACCAACTTCTACTGATTCGTTCTTTATACTTTTTTTTTATTCCTCCTCACTGCGCTATGCTCACTATGTACTCTTGTGTATAGATTCACTGCTCTCTTGTCTTCATTCACATATCACATAAATAGTGTTCGATTCGAAATTTCTTCTCTTTTTTTTCTGATAAACTTTTTTTTTCTCACTTGGATTTTCTTTTTCTTTTTCTTTATTTTTCACAAAACTTTATGCACAAACTGCACCGTTTTCAATTGATTTGGATGGCACAATATTGTGCCATCTTGATTTAATTTACAAACTTTGTCGAACAAAACAACACAAAAGTGTAGATATAGAAATAGGAAAAATATAAAATAAACTGAAACAGAAAGAACGTCTCTTGCAGGCCTGTGTGTATTGCAGAGTCGACGACTATGAATGTTGCCTGTTTTGAAAATGGACACTTACTGCTGATGTGTGTTGTACATCGACTATACGATGGCGGCCATTTTAAAATTGGAAATATATTTGGGAATGGTATATTATTTTTCTTTCTCTTTGCTCGCCTCGACAACCCAATACACACACAGACGTCATTTGGTTAGCATTCATTTCATGCGGCTGTGTATGCATGTGTGTGTGTGTACATTGGACATAGAAGCAGTCAAAATAGCAGCAGCAGGAGCGCGCACCGAACAACGGCAACAGTGTATTCGTGCGTGTTTTTTTTCTTCTTCGGAGGCCCATCTATATCTAATATACACACACCGATACACATACGCACGCATACACTGGCTGTACGTTCACCTCGGTGTGTGCACATGGATACGGGCGTATGTGCCGCAGTTGGTTGTATTTGTGCTGCTGCTGTTGTTGTTGTTGTTGTTGATGATGATTGAAATAAGCAAACGATGCATTGACTCTAGACAAGTAAAATGTTATGCGTGCGCTCTTCGTGTTCATTCTGCACACACTCATACACCTAACGCGCTCATTCACAAACAGCTCGGATATCGAACCTGAACCATCGAATCTACCGAGTGAGTGAAGCGAACGAGCAAAGCGAGAGAAAAAAGAAGAAACATTCACATTCCGAAATTAAAGAAACTCTTTTCTTCTGCTCTGTGTACTTTTTGGCACCTTCTTCGTTGGCCATACCAAATGGCGCTGTCCATGATTTTTGTTTCCTTCTCTTTTCCAACCAGAGACTAACTTCGTCCCAAGTCGAATGCGGAGCATTTTTGATCGATGCGCTCGATGATTGAATCAATTGATAAAAGTTTCAATAGAGAACATAATGGCCAAAACAAATCCCAAGGGGAAACATGAATATTACTTGCTGAAATGCTTACATATGTCATCATACATATAACATTTGACTCAGCAAAACAGATGCGACTCAGTCAGTCTCTGCACATTCTCTATCTGCACCGTGTGCCTGTGCGGTGATGTGTATACGCTGTGTATGCCTCTGAGGATGAGAAATCGAATCGAGGATTTAAATGTATGTTGTATTTATGCTTGCTTGTATGCGCACAAACTATACGTACACACACACACACAATCACCGAAACCGATAGAATGTCTTAAATCGCATTCTTTATGCTTTGTGGCTTAACGGCCTTACGCTATAATCACCGATTTGCCATGGTATGGCTAGGTGCATATATACATTCACGAACGGCAACACTCTACCCAACAACTCGAACGCTCACCGAAAACTGGTAAAGCGGATAGCTAAGAGAAAGAGACAGTGTAGGAGTCAGCGCCATGCATATAAACGCATTTTTCCCATCATCCATCATCTCAAACTGACAATTTTATGGGCACGGCTGCATAATCGTTTTTCGTTTTATTTCATCATCCCGATGTTTTATTCTCGCTTATTTTTTCATTCCGCAAATTCATTAATTTTCGATATGATTGCCAAATGATCATGGTTTTTTTTTATGGACGAAGAAATCGCTCTTTTTGTGTGCCTTCTTCAAATGCCCAACCGAATGCAGTGGATGATTATGCGGATAATGAGCAGTACTAAAATTTAGCCCAACGTTAAAAATCGATGGAGATTTCAATGTTTAAATTTAATTAAAAATGAAAAATCAAAGTCGAAAAACCCATTGATAATTCGATGATTAAAACATTTTGAGACTCGAAAATATTCCCTTTGAATTTTCATCTTTCTTGAAATTGTTTTTTTTTTCATTCATCATCCTCTCAGAGAAATTTGTCCAGATTTTCTGAAATCCATTCAATTTTCAAAACTGAAACAGTTTGCCCGGTGGAATTTAAAATTCTAGTGCATGTTCTAAAAATGGTTCGTGTAGACGCAGCCCTCTGTTTTCGTTATGATTTGGGCACGGTAATTCGTATATGTCAGAATCAGTGGAGTTTGTTTTGACGTTCATTCAAACACATACAGAGAGATCGATGAAGAATTATGAACCGCAACCGTTGCGTTGTACACACAATGGGGCTATGTTTTCAATCGGCACAAACAGAGGGCAATGCAATCAGCCTCTGGTCGTTTCGAGTGTCATTTTCATTCGGATCGAGTGTGTTGTTATTATTGTGATTTTTTTTTGTTCTTCGCTTCGTTCGTTCAATATTCATTAACATCATTCGTGTGTTCGTATTGTACTTGATATAATAAAAAAAAAATTGCTATACAGTACACATTGGTATTTTCCGTACTACATATAAACGCATTGCACAGAAAATAATAATAAGAAGAAGAAACAGAAGGGAAAAAAACTGAGCGACCGAACTACCGAAATAAAAAAAATTTAAAACGATATACATGGTTTTTGTTGTTGTTGTTCGTGCATTGCTGTTTCGTTGTACAATTGCTCATAATATAAATTTTTACGACATACAGACAATTGCTCAATGCTCACACTCTCAAAATCAACTGATTAATGAGCAGAAACTACGTAGTGAATACAGTAATTCTTTTTTTTCATTATTTTACTCGGTTTGCTTTCAAACACTCTTCTTGTGTGCTGTCATATTTCTTCGTCGTTTTTTTTCTATCTTCACTTCAGTTGTCGTGATACTGGTTCCAACATGACATTCATATCGTCGGTATAGAGTGAAATTGTGTGTGTGAAAAGACTCGTCACTTGGGCGAAATCAAATGAAAAACAAAAAAACCTAGTAAATTAGCAAATGAAAACAGTAAAATTGGTATAACAATTTGAGAAGGGTCACAGAAGGGAAAGAGCGATTGTGAAAATGAGTCGTCAATTGTGTACGACGTGAGATCGATCGGAAGGGCGTTAAGACGACACAGAGAGAAGAAAAAAAGAGAAAACTCTTTCAATCCAAGTGCACTTTTTACCGCGGAACAAACTTTATATCGTAAAAACCAAACCGCAACCAGGGTTGGTTGACACACACGAAAAAAAAAAACAATAATAATAACAAACTTTTGACAAACGCATTTCCAAACCAAAAATAAAAACAAGAGATTTAACAGCGAGTGCGCGCGTAGTAATATAATCAGGGAAAAACACTAGAGAATTCGACAGAAAATGTCGTTGCAAAATATTTTATTCTATAAATACGATTATCACGAGCTGTTTTGAGACCAGATTTTTTTTTGTTCGTTGCCGCACAGGAGAAAAATAAATGCCGACCGTGAAGTTGTTGTTGTTTTGAAGAAGCAAGCAAGCGAGTGAATGCATTGGGACAATTGAATTTTTGTCTTTTTGGTTTTATTGTGCCGGATTTTAATCGAAACGAAAAATTTCCATTTTTGCACCTACATTTCACGAAAAAACATTTATCGCTCGACACGTTGTGATTGTTTCAAGAGTTTTATTGCAATTCAGAGCCTAATTCAATAGCCTTAGCAACAATCGAAGAGAGAGAGAGAGAGAGAGAGAGAGAGAGAGAGAGAGAGAGAGAGAAAACAAAAACAGTACTTGAGACATTGTCTTTTTTGGCACTAATAAAAAAGGCGCTCTTTTTTCTTGCGTGTATCAAATATCATTTTTGGTGTGTGCATTTTGCGTGAGAGACAAGAACCAACAACGAAAGTTAAACGGATCGACGGTTGATGTAGAGCAAGAGAGGTAGAACGTGATAGAGAGGCGGCTCAAAAGACACAAAACAAATACGCGAGCGAGAGCAGAAAATAAAAAATCAAGGCAAGTATGTATATGATCACATGTGATCTCAATGAAATTGATATAGATTCGATCAGTTTTGCGTATTAACAACCAAATTGTGAGTGTGTGAACGGTGCTGTTGTTTTTGTTGTTCTTCGTTGTCGTCATTTTTTTTTTGTTCGCAGTGTGTTACTTAAGCATCAATTAATTTACTCCGCATGACAGGCGAAATGTCAACGATTTTTTTCTTCTCTGTGCTTCGGTTCGGCACAAACCAATTGATTGTTTGTGCTTTGGTTTTATTTTGGTTTTGATCAACAATCGTTTTTCTTCTTCTGTTTTCTCCTTATACATCCATTAGGCTAGTGTGTTATCTGTGCACTGCACCGCATAAAAGAGACCGCAGTAAAAAAAAATCACAACAACGTTACTTTTTATCATAATAATCATCATCGTCATCGTTGTCGTCGTCGTCGTCTGTGAATCTGTTTGAAAATATTGAAGGACATACGCTGACACATACAACGTTCGCCTCATATCCATATATATAAAAAACACAATCAAGACGTAAACTTCACACGTTTGAATGACTGGCTGCATGTGAAATTAGAAAGAGATCCAATCGTTAGCAGAAAACCGAAGAGAAGTGAGACACACCGCTCTCGTGCTGCAGATATCTTTGGAACGCCACACATTCATACCACAAACACACGACAAAATGGGTAACGGCCAATATAAACACGGCAATCAACGGCATAAATCCCATCCAAATATTGCCTCAATCAATCGCAAAGCATCTACAAGTAAGTCACACCAATTAACGCTTTCCAATCACCATTTCCGAATGGGATTTGCATTGGTTTCATCGTAATCGTCGTGTTTTTTTTTTGGTTCGGTTGTGCTATCACCGTTTTTATGCAATCAGTTTTTTTTCTTGCTTAAACAAAACGACATGCGTTGTTTACTAAACGGTTTCCATTTCGTTGAATTTATTTTAGGTACAACGTCGAGTTTGCACGAAAAATATGCAACCAATACACCGCGCGATGGAATGTCACGCACGGCGTCCGGCAGCGATATCAACGAAAAAAATTACTCATTATTTTTCCCATTAGAAAAACTGTCCAAAGTAACTATTCGATCGCACAATTTTTAAGACAAATTAAGCGATTGCTCATTTTTAAATGCGTAAGTGATTGGTCATTAAATCCATTTTTCTTTTCTTCTTTCGATTCGTTGTAGATTTTACATCAGAAAACGCAACACGAATGTGGCGTCAATGGGATTGCACAAGAGATTTTTGTGGTGCGTATTTTAACGAAATCATTTCGATGGAAACACTTGAAACTGTTTGAGTTGAAATTAAATTTGATATGATTTTGCGACGATTTCGTGTGTTTCTATTGAAAAAAAATATGCATTTTTCCTGCTTTTTGTATAATGAAACTGATTCTAAGCAACAAAACTGATTCGATTTTGTTTTCTTTTCGTCACAGAAATATGTATTTCCAAAGTATCCAGATTTGGGTGAGCGAATTTTCCGTAAAATGCACAAATTGGCCAAAGCAAAAACGAAGCATCTTGGTGTGACTGCATTTCGACAGCAATGCGAAATGTATTTGAGCGTTCTGGATGATGCCCTCATTCATGAGCATTATGTGAAAATGTTTTTTGCCAACGGCAGCCTAAATGCGGCCACGGCGTCCAAGGAGAATGCCGGTGGACAGCAACAGCCATTGAGCGATGAAGAATTGCTATTGGTTAATACCAATGGTCTGACTGATTTGCTGCTCATTTGTTTCCGAATCGGTGTCGCCAATTATATAGCGTCAGCCGGAAAAGCGGATGTCACAACCATTTCGGCAGACACGATTTGCCCACATGTAAATTGAAAACCCACAGAAAAAAACAAATCAAAATGACAAAACAAAAATTTCGGTCAAATTGTTTTGCTATCTTAGGCTTGGGCTGAATCTAATGCTTTCTTTCAATTTGCTCTCATTTGTTTTTTTTTTCGTAGATAAAGCGTACGATTACCTCGGTCACACAGTCATGTTTCTTCACAAAAGATACGCTGAGCGTTGGTTTTGTGTGCCGGTGGCTGGAGAAGAATTTACCGAATTTAATAATGCCGTTGCATCGATTCTGCGTGCATACACTGACAACGGTGTATCGAACTATTGAAGAGGCGGAAAAGGTGGCCACCACATCACAAAGCTCTGTAACGGGTGCAACAAATGAAGTGAATCCACTGTTGTTGGCGCTCAATAAGGAGCTACGAAAACTTAATGAGGCGGCTTGCGAACGTGGCACACCCGAAATCATTACCGGAAACACATTGCCCAGCACGGGCGGTCTTGGCAAATTGATGCCATTATCTCAATCGTGGCTGTTGGCGGCCGCACTACCAAACGTTTTTACTCGAGTTCAAGAGCGTAAGGCACCAATCACACCACAACCAAGCGGTAAATTAGATAATCCCGATGCTACGATACCAGCTATTGATGCAGCCGCCGCATCACCCATACCGCATTTAATGTCCACAATTCCAACACACTGGTCACTGTTGTATGATTCACAGCAACATGGTGTCGGTTCAAATCGATTTCTGCATCATGTTATTGGCTATAAAGGACCCACACTCGTTCTACTCCATTCAGAAACTGATGAAATTTTCTGCTTAGCCTCACCGTCCGAGTGGCGCGAAACACATTTATACACCGGAACAGATGATTGTCATATTATTCAGTTATTACCAAAGTAAGTGGTGTCTAATGAACCAGGCTATTTATGAGTAGACGGTGAACTCTCTGAGTTCCATTATATGGAATGATACGTGTGACGGCATTTTTTTACACGGAACTTCGTTCCCAGTGCGCCGAGCACTGGCTACATGTAATAACGTGTGTTTTCTAATATTCGGATACGTTCGCTCTATATATAGCAAGTGCTCGATGCACTGGGAACGAAGTTCCGTGTGAAAATATGCCGTCACACATATCATTCCATGTGATAAAACTCAGAGAGAAATAAATATAAATATCGAGAATAGAAAACCGGTAGTAGGCAAATTAATGAGCGAGAAAGATAACGTTAAAATCTATCATGAAATGGCTTAGTCGAAAATAGAGCAAAAAGATAAAATGAAGATAAAAATGGTATGAAGAATGAAGAGAGAAAAAGAAGAGGAAAAAATATATCTAAAATTGAGGAAAATGTAGAATACCGTAAAACATTTGATAGAAATCGTCACAAATCATATGATAATGGAACAAGTTTCAGTTATTTTTCATTATTTTTTTTATTTTTTTCAATGAGAACCAAAAACATTTCATTGAATAATATTCAACCTAGAAGAATTCCATTAAAATGTTTGTTTTTATTGGCAGGTTTTCGATTTTAGAAAAAGGACCGAAATTGCTGTACTTAAACACATGCATTCGAGGCTATCCAAAGGGCTTACGAGCTGGCCCTGACCCAAGAAAACCGCTTCTTTCGGTTGACGAACACTTCGAAAAGATTGAATATCGCAGCGTACCTTCCGTACTGTTTGCGATTGAGGTAAGTGACCAAAGAAATGTCGAGAGTTGACGGAATTTATTTCCAAAAAATTGACAAACATCAATCCTTTGCCAATTCCTCACCCAAGATGATTCATCAATTCATTTAATTTTATTCTCTCAAATGACTCATTTCATCTCAAATATTTACATTTCATTTGCTTTCGTTTTCACTTGAATTCATTGAAGTTCGATTGAACCGCGTGTTGGGCTTCAATGAACTTTCCATTAATTTGCTCTGTCTCTCAATTTCAGGTGTATGGTTGTGGTGACCGTCAAATCCGCGACATTCAATTGGATATTAAAAAGTGGCAGGTGACAGAAGCGGAGCGACAACGCACGGTAAAATTAACGTCAGCCGATTGGATAGATCACCCGGATCGGTATTTGTTGGAGCTGGGCGGTCGACCACAGTATAACAATGCCTAAAAATCATCTACTTAATTTCTCTTCTGCGTTGAGACTTAAGTGTGTGTTTTTTTTGGCTCTTACGAGCGATACACGATACACAGGCATTCACTTGTTAAGTGAACATAATATTTACTTAACTTTTTTTTTTTGGATTTACTTTAATATTATTATTATTTTTTTCTTTTTGTCCCTTATTATTGTTTACATTTATTCGCCATCTGTTTATTTTTTCTGTCATTCTAATTTTAATTTATCCTTCAAAACAAAACAAAATACATATATTCATGTACTTATTTTATTCACTTGTATTATTATTGTTTGTGAAACGACATTTTTTATTTTCATAGAATAGCAGTTGTTCGTGCCTTTTCGATTGTACATAGAAATTTCGGATTTGATTGGATGGCATGAAGTTTGAACATTCTGTCAGCAAGAAAAGCCCAACTAAAAAACTAATCTTTGTTCTACAAATTAGCTATAAAGAGCTAGAAATAATTTTCTTGGATATATTGGGTCTAGCAATTAAAAACCGGAATTTTTTTTCTTCAAATTTTAGAGCTTTATTGTGAAAAAATGGTTAGATATTTTTTATTCAAAGTATTGGCCATCGGAAGCTATGGCTTTCGTCCATCTTTTAAACGATATGCAATGGTAGTTTGGGCGACTCCTAATGCTTCTGCAAGCTCTTCTTGCGTTTGACATGAGTCTTCATCGAGCAATGTTCCTAATTCTTTGTTTTCAAATTTTTTCGGCTGTCCAGGGCGGTCTTTGTCTTTGACATCAAAATCGCCACTTTTGAAGCGTTGAAACCATTCGTAACACTGGGTCTTCGAAAGAGAATATTCACCATAAACTTCATCGAGAAAACGATGACTTTCCGCAGCAGTTTTCTTTGCAAAAAAGTGCCCCAACAAAACTTCCCGCAAATGCTGTTTTTTTCTCCAATTTGGCAAGTTTTCCATTTTTTCGAAAAAAATGTTGCGCACAAGATAGAATACTTTTGTATACTGATTTTGTTAGCTGTCAAATGAAGCTTTAAAATGACATATGTGTCACACATGTGCGATCACGCATATGTGAATGGCACCATATGCCGTAAAATTCCGGTTATTAATTGCTAGACCCAATAGCAACAAATGGAAACATTTTAAAGAATTTATCGAACAAATACGTGATTCATGATTCCAACATTAGCATAGTTTTGAATTTTGATTCGGAACAAATATAGCAGAATACTTGAAATTTATCTTTGGCTCTTGAATTTAGAAAAAGTTCTTGAAGAAGTTCAAAATTTGAACTTCAAATTACAAAATGATACATATATTTAATGAACAAATTTGCACATTGTTTGTTTAGAGCAATAAAAATAATCTATTTAACTAAAAAAAATGCGTCTTAATTCTGATTTGTTTATGTTTCTCAATGAACCGTTATTTACTGTTAGATTAAATTCAAATATTTGACGTAATCAAATTCAAGTGATCTGACAAATTAAAATTTTCCCTTAGAGAACTACACACTATGGTTGGAAACATCTGTTTTGATAAATAAAGACTCTATCAAAGTGTATAAATTGATACTGATAAAATATGACGGAATTCGGTGTTTTTATTATCCATAAAAAGAATTTTGTGTTCCATTCACCAATGAAAAAGTAAAAATGATTACATCTAAACATGAGTATTTTTTTGAATGCAATGAAAATAACAATAAAAAAAACTTCAAAAACATATGGCTTTTTAACATTTAAGCACATCATCAAATCGTCGATAGAGCGCACTACTTTACTGGAATCTAAACTGCAAAGCAAACGTTTGTTTATGACAAAACCGTTTGATATTTGTCTGAAAATAAGTTCAATGAACTTGAAAAAAATGAAAATCCATTCCAGATAGATAAATATCAATAGGTCAATGATTTTTCGCTAAAGTTTTTTTTCTCTCGAAAAATCGCATGTTGTTAATCCATTCCAAACGGCTCTGTCGCTATACAAATTTGTCTTGAAAATCTGTCTTGTAGCTGACTTCGTTCCATATGTTATAATTGTCAAAGTTGTGTCGCATACCAGTACACTGAGCACAGCCAATTGATGCGGTTCCGTACAAAAATAGAATGTGTTTTGAAGTCATCAACAGCAAGCCGAATAAAGAAGAAAAAAAAAATCAAAAGTGAGTCGATGAGAAGATGACCAAATCCACCGTTGATGCGCCAATCACAGCCGAATTACCGACCATGCAAATACGGTCACTGTGTTACATAATGCATTGATCTTATGTGAAATTCCTGAAAAAATCTCATTTTTAGCATTTGACATTTTTCTTATCGGAAACAGCATCCAAGGTGTTGCTGAAATAACAAAAGATTCTGGAAAAGTATTCAAAAATGGCGCGCTTTGTGCGCGCAAGTATTGAACCCTTCTCCAATGCAGAATCGAGTATAAATCCATGCCAAATTAAGGATATTTGGATATGATTGAAGAAAATTCGTTCCCAAAAATGGACCATTTCACATTTGTTAACGCGAATTCTCGCGAGAAAAAAGAACGAAGTCCACCAATCGCCGTCAATAACATGAACCGAAAGTCAAACGCAACAATTAGATTCTTCCGATTCGTACAATGCCGTGTGCATCGGGTACGAACATTGTAAACACACATCTGTAGGCTGTGAATCTGTGAGGCGAGCATTTGACAATTCTCGCAATAATCACGTTTCGTATATGACAGAGTCACATTTAACAACAGTTCTCTGTCTTTCTCTCTCTCTCTCTCTCTCTGTCTCAGTGCTGTCGAGCTCTCTGACAACGTATAAAACAGCAGCAGTAGCAGTAGCCGAAGTTGGTGTGATGTAAGTGTGAGAGTGTTTGAGTGCTCAAACACCAATAACTTTCACTCCGAACGAAACGAGTTATGTGCCCACATACATATGCATGTTTACATTGCACGTGTGTAACCGACTCAGCACTGTGAAAAAATAAACGCAAATCTTTAGCTGGGCGGATGTTCAAAATGGAGGTTATGTAAAATGATGGCCCATTGTTTGAATGAATTTTTTTTTGAAAAATTCATGGGAAATTAAATGGAAATTTTTTTTCCGATTGTAAATTTAATGAAATGTTTCGTGGGCAAGACCATGGAAATTGTTGAATCCACACCAAATCCACTGTTCGGTCGTGCAGTTCGTTGACCGAAAGATACGAATTGGCAATGCACTACAAGGTTTCAGTCAGATGATAGAGGCAAATCAAGAGAGCGAGACAACTATGGAGGTCGTCACATAGTAGTTGTCTCGTTTTTTTGTGTGTGAATTCGGTTGGATGGTGTCGTTGGTTAGTTCCAATGTGTACGGATGTTGTGTTTTGAGTGTGGTATCTTTCTCTCTCAGTTCAGTTCAGTGTGGTTTTTTTTTGTTCGTTCGTTCTTCTCTGTTTGTGTTCTCATCACTCATCGTATACACATGAAAAAAAGACAAAAATCTCTTGTTGGAAACATACGACGACACAGCACACACAGCTCTAAAACTAAGAGAGTGAATAAAAATCTTTCTGTATGTTTGTTAAAATGTATTTGTTGTTTTTTTTTATATTGTTCTCGTTCCCGTTGATGTGTTAAAATACTGTCCTCCATATTGCAAAATAGTGTAGTAATTTTATATTAGCCACTTACATATATATATATATATATAAATATTTTTGTTGTTGTTGCCCGTGCGTGTTACAATAAACGAAGCGAGTAGTCAGCAGTGTGATCGAAAAAGTCGAAAAGTCTTTTGAACAGAGAAATAAAAACGAAGCGAATAAATACAAAAAAAAAGAAGTATAATCATCGTTGGTCGCGTTAAAAATATACACACATAAGTGTTTTTTGTGCAGCAACAACAACACAGTCTCACTAAAACTCAGTCACAAGAGAGTGAGGCAACCGAAAAGAAAGAAGAAAAAAAATACACGACAAAAAGAGAGAAGAAGCAACAAAAAAAAAGAAGATAGAATTATATAGCCAGAGAGAAGTCAAATCGAATCATCGCTAAACGGAATTCAAATACCGACGTCTGTCTCTTGTCGACACTGGCAAAGAATCTATATATCAAAAAAAAAGCGAAAAAAATATATATATCGCCACCCAGCGTAAAGAGTAAATTTCCGCAACAATTTTTTTCCCTTTTTTTTCGTTACCTTTACCAACCACTACCACTGAAAAAAAAATAATTTTGCAAAAAGTATTTGTCGTGACATCAGTTTTTATTATCAAATTTTGTGTGTGCCTTTTGTAGGAAAACTCAAAACGAGCATCGTCGACGATAAAATTCTATATTTTGTCGGTACGTCGTTCATATTTTTGTTGGTTATTTTGTGCAATTCTCGCACTGTGTGTGTGTGTGTGTCTCGCCTTGACATCGGCTTGAGATGGATTCCCGTTTCGTTCCATTGACGATGTGCATTTCGGTTGAAATGAAAAATTGAGAAAAAATGCGGTTTGCAAAAATGAAGATGCAGAAGAAAAAAATCCAACGATGAAACACAAAATACAGACGAATTAATTGAAGAAGCAGTAAACCCAATGAGCCGATCAACGACCGAACCACGAGCGAGATAGAGAAATAGATGAACGATAAAACTATAAGCGGCGGTGTAGAGAGAAGAAAAGTCAAAATTTAGATATTAGATAGAACATGGATTGGATGTTAGGGCCTTCTAGTAACATAAATTCTTTTTTTCCATTTGATTTAGTTTAGTTTCGTTACAAATCGATCGGTTTAGAGCTATCAAAACGCGAACGCATGTGATAGATAATCCATCAGCTAGAAGAAGTGCAGGTTCACACCACATCATGCATTAGGAGAAAGAGAGAGGAAACAATTTTATCAGCATTCATTTTGCGTTGAACCGTGCAATTGTTGTTGTTTTAATTTCTTATTTTCATTCGTCGTCTTTTTCGTCCATTTCGAGTGTGTCTGTGTGTGTGTGTGTGTGTGTGTCCGAAATGGCATAAATTTATCGAATGCAAATTAAAGTGATTTGCCGATGTTTTTGTTTGCCACCTCATGCATCAGCGTGAAATTCGGTGTGTGACACCAAAAAATAAAATGTCAGTCAGCAGTTTTCAATCAATTTGATTTTGGTTTCGAACAAACTGTCGATGCTTCGACATTTTTAAAAGATTTGCAATTGGGCTTCAATTGGAATCGACGGTTTTTTGAAAGCAATGGCAAACAACAACAACAACAACAACAACAACAACAGAAAATTGTGGTGCACGAGATTAAATTTCGGTTTTGAAAATGATACTACAGTGTATGATTTTTTTCTCTTCTTCTCTGCCTTCAATTCGATGTGATAACGTAACCTGCTTCCCTTCACATAAACATACTCTTATACATACATTGTGTATTTAATGAACAACATGCAGTTTTCGTCTATTCGGCACTCTCCGATTTTGTTGTTTTTGTTGTAAGGTTTTAATTTTTTTTTCTTATTTCGGATCGCTTTTCTCGTCGGTGTATATTTTGTTGCTGGGGTTTTTCAGTGTTCGGTCGGTTCGGTGTGTCGTGTATAGAAACAAAATATATATACACGAAAAGACAATCAGAGAGACAGCAGTAGGCAGGCGGACAGGCAAAGCACATTGTTTCACCCAAACGTGAAGTACACACACGGCTCTCTGTTGCTATTGCTATTTGCGTTGTTGCTTCGCATTTCTGCTGCCACTACTACTACTGCTGCTGCTGTCTACACTGTGTGTTGTTCGACAGTAAGTTTGGTGTGCGAGCGAACTCGCATTGCGTTAATAACATTTTCGACGTTGTAAACTAAAACGAGGTGCGATAATACTGGAATTTTTCGGAGCTCGGACAAGGTTGTGACAGCTAAATTTTTCGTTCTGTGTGTTTATTCGTTGGATTTTATTTCGTCAATTCCCTTAATTCAAAATTTAATTCATATCTGCCGAAATGGAAAGAAAAAACACACAACAAAATTCAAACCAACCAATAACAAAAATTTGAAATGTGCAGACAAAAGAGCTAAACACACAAACACAACCACACACGAAAAAAAAATGTGATTGCATGTTGTCATACGTTGATTGAAGAAGAGAACAATTGAACACGTTGTTTTTTTTCCCCCTTTAAAACAACTCCTAAAAAGCAAACGAATCAAGTTTATTGCATTGCCAAAATAATTGTGGTGTGTTAACATGAACAGAAAATTAATCGATTTGATTCGGGTGAACTTTTGACACTGAATCGAACGAAAGCAAAAGAAAATGTGCGAAATGTGACAAGTGGATTTTTGTACGAAGAAGCAAGGGAATTTTGTGAGGAAGCAAACTGTGTATGCGTGTTCCTTGAACAGGCGCACAGTCTCTCACACTCTCGGAAAATGAAAAACCAGAAGAAAAAAAATTCTTCGAAATGTCTTGAATGTTTTTTTTTAGCATCATTATCAAAATAAGCACAATTGATTGCGTAAAAAAATGCGTTTGCTAATGATTTTTTCTTTCTCTTTTCTCTCATTCTTTTTTTTAATCTTAATTTAGAGCGAATTCAACTGACAATTTTAATTCGAAACACATTTTCGTAGCAGAAAACGAATTATTAGCGTGAGCAGGGAAGAAGAAGTTAAAAGTGAAAACACACAACAACAAAGAAAAGTCTATTGATAACAATCAAAATGAGTGATTCAATCAAGTTTGGTCCAGAATGGTTAAGAAATATGTCAAACGACACGGGCAGTTTGTCGTCATCGGCTGCTACATCATCGGGAGTTGGAGGTGGTGGTGGTGGAGGCCTTTCAACATACAGCAACATTCGTACGTATTTAAAAAAAAAAGCATTTTATCAGTCAAGTGCATCATCAAATACTCACACGCTCACACGCTCATACACACACACACACTTAAAAATATCGACACAAAACAACATGCCAATCCTAATTCCTGTGTACATTTTGTTTTCTCTCTCTATCGTGGTTTCTTTCCCTCTTGTCGAGCACAGATAATGCACGATTCCCGTTAGCTGAATATCGATACGGGAGAGAAGAGATGCTGTCGCTATACGATAAAAATTTTAAATTGCCAGAATTACTGCCAAAATTTAACAAGCTATTCATTGAAAAAATGCAGTGTCCTTTAGCCTTGTTGCCACCAACAGCCGACGAAGAAACGGTAAACAACACTCACACACACACAGTATTCTTTGCATGTAAAAATTGAACTTACTTACTTAGTTTGAATCTCATCTTAATTTGCTGCAGCCACGGGGGTTAACGCCGATAGGTGGTTTGTCTAGTGAACGAAGCGCATTAGGTATATCAAATAGTTCAAGTGGCAGTGTATTGGGTGGTATAAGCAGCACACTTGGCATGTCTGGACGTGGAATGCGTGGCAGTTCAATTGATCGTGGTCGAGGTCGTGCATCCAGAGGCGGAATATATCATCCATCACTTGGAAGCTATCAACGGTCTGGTTTTATTTATGACGAAGATTCACGAGGTATTGGCTCGAGAAGCGAACGCTCATGGACAGAACGAAATGGCACCGAAACGGAATGGAATTCAACGGCAAATGGCAGTCCAAGCCCTAGGAAAGATTTCTCCACACTTCGATCGGGTGGTGGTAGCGGCGGCGGCGGCGGCGGTGGTGAAAGTTGGCGTCGCAGTCGAGTTGAAGACGAAGGTTTGTATCATTCGCATAAATTCATTTTATGGCTGTCGTAGCTCGTCTGAACGATTTAGGGTATCTTCTTGTCTTGAAATGAAAAAAAAAAACATAAACAAAAATCCAAAAATATGATGGGACATTTTGCTTTATGCAGGACCACTTTTGAACGGCACAGCAAATGAAGGTTGGCGAACGTCCGCATCATCCACGAATAATACCATGTACAAGTGGCGTAAGTCTATTCAATATAGACACCTTTCTATTTTGTACCTTTCTGAATATTACCTTAATAGACAACGAACACTATCCACGTGTTCCGATTGTTTTATGTGGAATGATTTTCCCTTGGTTTTCTTTTTTGAACAATTTCGATATCAATTCTATCTCTCTTATCCGAATTCAACACAAAATTTAACTCTTTTCAAAACGAACATCAATCATTGACACAAACCGTCGTCTCGATTGCAAATTAATGTGGAATTTCATTTCTTTTTCTCTCTCTCTCCCTCTCTCTAAATCCGTAGCCGTGCGTTCAACAAGTTGGCGAGGAGGTGAAAGTGAGCAAGGCGGTGGATTTAATACAGAATCGGGTGGGCCACCACGATTGGAGCGATCGAAATCGACACAAGGTAGTCTACCGAGTCGTGACGATCCTTCTGGTCATCCTGGTCTAAATCGACGATTCGGTGCAAATGCGTCGTGGGATGAAGACAATCTGCCCGAATGGGCAATGGACGATCCGATCGAAGGTGGTGGTAGTTTCGATGCGACGGGCGCCTTTTTAGATGATAGACATTTGGGTGAACGAGTGAAGCCATCGGATGCATCACGGGCGAATGTGAATTCGGAGAAGGATGAACATAAAACGGAATCGATAAGTGATACAAAAGCCACGGACAAGGATACTCCACTGAAAGATACTCCGGAAAATGCGCGCACAAATGATAAAACGGAGCTGAGATCGGGTGCGATCGATGGTAAGCCAAGCGAACCATCGCAAAAGCAAGACAATCGTGCAAAAGAGAAAGAACTGAAATCGAACGAAACGATCGAAATGGCGGAGAGAACGGCATTGAATAAGCAGCAGCACCAGCATCAACAGGCATTATCGTACAAAAATACCTCAAAATATAGTGGGTCTGAAGCACGAGACACTGTACCTGTTGTTGTTTCATCGACATCGGACAAAGTGAATATGCAACCCGATTCGACGCCAATCGATCGACTGAAAGAGGTGGCCGAAGTTATCGAAAAGCTGATCATGGATGACGATCAATCGTGTAACGAAAGTGATGAAGCATTACTTGCGCCGCATCTGCACGGCCATGATTCGCACAAGCATCCGAGCGCTGACGATGTGCTGGCCGAAAAAACGAAAGAAATCGACCGATGGTATTATCGTGATCCGCAAGGTAAAGTTCAGGGCCCATTCACCGCAACCGAAATGCTGGAGTGGTTTCGGGCTGGTTACTTCGATGAAACGCTGAATGTACGTCGTGTATGTGATCCACAGTTCATTGAACTCGGTGATTTGTTGAAAGCGTGCAGCGGTTCGATTCCGTTCGTATCGATGCCACCGCCAATTATCCCACCATCATTGATGCAGAGTCAGGCCGCCGAAATCAATATGAACACCGCACCAAGTGTTGTCAAACCGGCAACACCAACGAAACCATTAGCCAATCCATTAGTTCATACGGGCAAAATGCCACCACCCAAATCTGCCAACAATCCACCCTACTTTGATATTCTACATCAAACGCCGAATTTCCTTGGTCTTATGAATCAACCGTCGAATGATTTTCGTAAGTGTTTTTTTTGTTGCCTTTTTCGCGTTCTCTTTTGCCTCGGATTTTCAATGCAATCAAATTTTATATTAAATTTGCTCTATTTTCCCTTCTTTAGTCTTATCAAATTCACTGCCTAAGCATCAAAATCCGGCCATGCCAACGTTGCCGAACGCATTGAGCAAACAAACCCATCTGAAAAATCAACACCAAACCCAATCGCTGCAGCATCTCTTAAGCCAACATAAAAATGATTTCAATGCACCGGATCAAGTCGATCCGATGCATCACATGCTGAATTCCATGAATCATCCGCAAATTTCACCGCCTGTTGGAATCCTACCGCAAGTGCCAACGATTCCGCCACAAACCTCACAGAATAATTCATTCCAATCACTCATGATGCAGCTTCAAATGCAGAAACCTCATATTATGCAACAGGTAACTAATGCACATATTTTGTCTTGCAATTTTTTGACTTCCAATTAATTTTCCTTTTAACATGGCGTTCGATCCATTTCGAAAGGGAAAGAAAAATAAATTAAAAATCAAATTAACGATGAAAATAAAACCCATTTATCTTTTAGCAAATTCAGCAACATCATCAACAGTCACTCATAATGAATGCGATGAATTCACCGTCTTTGCCGTTGCCTCATCATTCCATCGAAGAGATGCAGCATCCACCGGCTGGCATTTGGGATTTGCCAATTCCACCACCGGCTGGCGTCGGTGCACCTCCCCCAGTTGGTAAGAGCTTGCTTTCAATCTAATGCAAATGGTATACCCAATTCGCATTGCGAATATTTTGAAGAAGGAGAAGAAGAAGAAAAAAACCCAACTCAAGCCAATTACATTCGCTAATTAATTAAATTTGTCTGTGTTCAGTGCCAAGTTCATCGATGAAAACTGAGATGCAAATCCTCGAGCACTTGCAGGCTCAGGCGAAGGCGAAAGAGGAGCAATTCAAATTTGAGCACCTGTCTGCGCAACAGCTTGACCAATGGAAAAAGCAACAGCAAGCATTACATCAACAGCAACAACAACATCAACAACAGCAACAGCAGCAGCAGCAGCAGCCGCCATCATCGCAACCACCCCAACAAATGCAACACCATCAAGATGTTCAACAGGTACGGACACGGTCGCATTTCAATTATTAACGATGATTAAATTAAGTAGGACGTATGAAACACGTGTTCAAATGTCATTAATTTTTCATTTGTCAAAAAATCAGATTGTACCGTCACCGCATGTACTTGGCAACACACCAGCCGAGCTGCTGCAACCAACGGACATCTTCCGAGCGAAGAATGAAAATGTCAAAGAGCTCGAAGCAAATCGTGCACCAGTGAAACAAGCCAAAGCGAAAACGGAACCACCAACCGTCGGTGTGAAAGTGATGACGCCAACAATTGATCCAAAACTAGCCCAAAATATCAATAAAATCAACAATAATGCCATCGATATCGATGAATTGATGGTGAACGAAAAAATCGAAGCAAAATTGAACAAGATTAAAGCGCAAGCTACGCCAGTTGTAAATGCCATGAAACAAGCGAATGAGATAAAGGCTAATCAAAAAGCGACCAACAGTGGCCCGAACGCAAGCGATGTTGCCAATAAATCCAATAATAATATGGTGAATGCAACAGCGCCAAAGAGTGTAGTGAAAGAGAGTACAAAGAAAAAGTCGAAGGAAAAGGACCAAAAAGCCGTCGAAGAGAAGCGACGACTACAAGAAGAGGAGGAAGAACAAAAACGACTTGAACTCATTGCTGCTCAACGCAAAGCTAAATTAGTCGATCAAAATGCCGTGCGTATCGAACAACCCAAACGGAATAATTTGGCCGCATCTGTTGGTATGTTGAATTGAGCATTTGAGAATGAAGAGAAAATCAATGAAATTGATTTTGTTTTTTGGGCAGAAAAAAAGTACTTAAAGAATAGAAAGACTAATGAAAATGTGACGTTGGAGGAAAATGAGTTCTTCAAGTCAAAATCAACCTATAGTCGACTCTTCTTCGAGTAAACGCATGAACAAATCATTCTAGGAAATCCATTCAAACAACTAAAATTTCAGAGAAAAAAAAACCAATGAAAAATTAACGTGAATATTTCCATTTTCAGCACCCTGGTCGAATATCTCTGAAAATTCTTCATCGCAAGCAGCAACGTCCGCGTTAACTCTAGCCGAAATCCAGAAAGCTGAACGAGAGCGACGCTCGGAATTGTATCGCCAGGAGCAAGCTCAACAGCAAAGTCAAGCGATAATTGAGCAGCAGCAACAAAAGGAGGTGCTCAAGTGGAAATTGAAACCGCAACAAAATCAAGCCAAGTCATTGGCCGAAATTCAAGCGGAAGAGAGCAAGGCTAGACAAACCATTCAACAAATTTCAGCGGCTAACGTAAGTGTTAACCATGACACATTCCGAAATGGTTTCTTTCTTGAACTTGAACTTTGTGAATGTCGCACTTTGGCGTGTGAACAAACATTCATGATGGATCAATAATAGTGTCTCAATGTTAATTTTCGTTTAGGCTGCACAGCAAAAGCAACAGAGTGTAAAAAAAGATGAGAAATGGTCGGCAGTATCGCAATGGTCAATGATTTGGGGCAATGATCAAGCAAACAGCGCTGGACCGGCTGCATCGGGCAATGGAAATGCCAATTGTTTCTGGGAAGATCCGGCCAAGATGACAACAACAACCGTCACCGTAACATCGACCAAGGTAAATGTTCAACAAAATGGTACCAGCAAACCGTTGGCCAAGAGTCAAACCGTGTCAAACATGCAGTCCGTTGCAAATGTAAAAGCTAATCAAAATGCCGCATCCAAACCCACGACAATATCGAAAACTAGCTCAAGCGGCAACGTCACAGCCGCTGCCAATTCGACTTCAAACAATAATAGCAAGAAAGCCAAAGGCAGCAATGCTAACTCGAAAAAAGGTACGAACGAAAGTTTTGATTCTCTAGATTTTTTTTTTGGACAAAAAATTTGAATTTTCCTAGGGAAAAAGTCCATTTTATTATTTTTATTTTTTTTTCCACATTTTAGATGGCGATAATGAATTTAGTGCTTGGTGTGCCAAGGCACTTGCCGCTCATAATGATGTAATTGATGGTGAGTTTACTACCGAAAAGCAAAGCACACTTCCATGTTCCCATGTTTTTGTAGTAATTTTGATGGAAATTCGTTTTTTTTTTCTTCTCCTTAAACAGTGCCAACATTTGTGTCTTTCTTGCGTGATATTGAGTCACCATTTGAGGTCAAGGACTATATTCGAATGTATTTAGGTAAATTGTGTGACTATTATTCAGTCCATATATTTGCATGGATTCAATATATTTCAATGGTTGGCTGACTTCTCTGTGTTCGTGTGTTTCTTTTTTTTCTCTCATCTTCGTCTGTCCATACAGGTGAAACAAAGGAATGCGGTGAATTTGCAAAACATTTTCTTGAACGTCGCAGCAAATATAAGAATCAACAACGTGCTGCAAATGCACATATCGATGACATGTGCTCACCAGCACCTGCTATAACACCGGCCATTTTGAGCGGTGGTGACGGTCAAGAGGCCAAGGTTAGCCATTTAACCCATTTTATTTAATACCTAACCCAATTTTTATTTCAACTTCTGTATGAAATAATGCGTTCCATTTTCACTCGAAAAATAAAATAGGGCAAGGCTAAAAAGGAGAAGAAGAAAAGCAAAATGACAAAGCTTGATTCAAGAATTTTGGGATTCTCAGTGACATCGGCGGAGGATCGTTTGAATGTTGGTGCACGAGACTATGCACGTGATGGACCATAAACGAATTGTTGTCATTTGAAGCAACGCAACGCATAACATCAACAATTACATTTTACAAATGCAACCAGCGGTACACGCGCCCGCTCAACTGAGAGAGAGACAAAATGACATTTTCAAATGATCAATCAAACAACTAATGAATTTATAGTAAACCGAGCAGCCGTTCATTTCAAACATGCAACCAGTTTTCGTTAAATTTTTGTTTTTCACAAACAAAACAATTTCATTTCTTTTACATTTGTTTCCGATTTTTTTTAAAGAAAACTAAAAGCATCAGTTTAATTTGAAGAAGAAAGAGAAAAAAAAGAGAAGAAGAATTGGAATATTATTATTAAAAAAAAAAAACGAAAAATGCGACAGCCAATTCTTGTAAAACAAATTTGATTTCCCAATGTTATTAATTCTATTATTCATTCATATTTTTTTTTTACTTTAAGACACAGTGAAAAAAAAAACAACAACAAATTAGAAATATTTGTAAATACAAGAATTTGAAGAGAAAAAAAATGAAGTCAAACAATGAATGTTATTGATATAAAATTTGTAAAAATGAGTTTTGATTTTATTTCGCTTCAGTTTTTTTTGGGTTCTATTCTAGCATGTGCTTCGGGTGAATTGGAATTTTACCATTTTTAGAAGTGGCGTGTTAGCCAGTCGTGCGCACGAATTCATTTCTTCTTTTTTTTTCATGCCGAATGCATCATTTTCATATGATTCATTCGGTTGGAACAATTCGTTCTAGAATTTCCTACGTAAGCGACTAAATTTAGTTAGAAAGTGCCGACTCAACACCATCGATGCAAATACATAAACAGCTCCTTTCACATACACACAAACATACATACACCGAGTGCGCACACAGAACAGTTCGTTGACTACACGATTGTATGTGCTGGATATTCGTTCTAACGCAATGACAGCCCATTTGCACGCACGTGTGTTTGCATCGCTATGTGACACATGATTTGGCATTTGTTTTGCTCAAACGTCAAATAAGCGCCCTACGAAACATGTCTTCACAACACAACCTTCTACAAAGTAAACAATTTAAGTGCAGGTAATTCAATGGAATTTTTTTTGACACATTTTGTTTTAATTGCCCGGTTTTTGACATAATTGTTTTGGATTTTTTTTCCATCATCGCAAATTACATGTTATTCAGCGTTAGTTCGGTGCTCAACAAAGATGTGAAACAACATGGGAAGACGTTCATGTTCGATGGCTTGGAGGATACAGCCTGGTATTCAGATCAGGTAAGATTTTTGACACTGTCCGAAAAATGACAGTTTGATTTTTTGAAGAAAAAAATTTGGATTTCACTTTATTTTTCCTTACCTTTACCCTATGTTTACTCACTCTTTCCACATTTTTCGCTGTCATTCGATTTCTTTTACACTTTTTGTTCTTTTTCATTCATTTTTTTCACGTTTTTCTTCAAAAAAATCTTTTGTTGTCTTTTTTTTCTGCGCCATTTTCACTACTTCTTTCTATTTCTACGTCCCTTTTATCATTATTTCTTTTACAATTCACATGAATCTTACTTCGTTTTCCATTTTTCAACATTTTTGCTTTAAAAACAATCTAATCAGCAAATTGTGTTCTAATTCTTTCAGGGTCTGCCACAAAACATCAACATTGTGTTCAATGAACCGCTCGAATCGTTGGATTTAAGTACTTGTCAGTTGAAAATTAAATTCCAAGGTGGTTTTGTGGGGAGTGTTATGACTGTTTCGCTAGATGATTCCAGTAGTCAAAACGTGTACAAAAAATGTTTTTACCCAGATGATATAAATGATATGCAAATCTTCACGCTGGACGCCGAATCGAATGGAAAAAAACTAGAAAATGTCAAGAAATTGTCGATTGTATTTGAACAAAGTTCCGATTTCTTTGGCCGAATCATCATTTACCATTTAGAACTATTGGCATGAACCAACCATTTTCAAAACGAATATATTTGTAAAAAGAAAGCATCCAAATATATGCTGTTCCGCCGCTAGAACGGGTTTAAATTTAAGAGAAAAAAAAAAGACTTGAAAATGAATGAAAACCACATTGCGATACAATACATAAAGTGATTCTAAAACTTTATAATTTTGGTTTTATTATTGAATCTCAATCCATTTGGTTTAAATTGCATTCAAATTCTCAGTTCTAAGAAACATTAACATTAGTTATTAGCATTGAGAGAGTTTGCACATTCCCAATATTGATTTAACAGTTTTCCTCTAAAAGCCACGGGTGATCTAGGCTGAAAATGAAATAAAAAGACAAATGGTAAGACGAACGTTGAATGTAAGTATGTAATAAAAAAAATTCACACGTTTGAAAGAAACAATTGAAGCTTGAAATGAAACATGATAAAGTAAGAAATAACAAAAGAATTGGAACAAACTGAGTGGGAGCTCAGAAAAAAAATCGAATTCCAAATTGTAATTGGAACGAAAAACTGAATCCGAAATTTGCTGCATAATAAAAAAAAGAGCCGAGTCAAAATCCAACCATTGAGCAGCCGTTGCCCGGGTGTTTGCATCGAAATTGAGCATTGGTTCCAAAAAGTCAGTAAATTCTCTGGCATCGAATGAATTCCAGTTGTATTTATCAACAAGAACGCTGTATAGGTCCCATGGTTTCAATTTCGTAATGTTTCGTAGATTGCCTGCGGCCGTGAAGGAAAAAGCAGCAAATCGTGTTAGAAAAAATACCGAATCGAGAGATGAAATCGTAAAAGTTGATTAGGGTTTTCCTTACCGTAACTATTAAAATATTTGTGTCCGTATTTGCCCTGAAAGATGATGTGTGGTGGAATGTTGCCAAGCAGTTCAATGATGTGAGCCAGATGATCTTCGTCACGTGAATACTCATCGGAACCGCGTGGATCGAATAAGTAATCGCCCGTCAGCAATTCGAATGCCAAACACGCCGTGCTCCAAATATCCGCCGTGTAATTATATTCGGAGCCCAGCAGCACTTCAATCGACCGATACTGACGCGTTTGAATGTCTTCGGTGAAATGATGGTCCTAATCGAATTAAATCAGAGTGTGTGGCACACAATTGAATTAAACATTTTCAATTATACCAACAAATTACACAATATAGCGTGTCCTTATGTAATGGATAATATTCCGACCACTTTATTTCAATGACATAATTTTATTGCCGGTTCTTATCGAATAAATGCTTCAATATACGTACGTTATAGCAAGCGTTGCCCAAGTCAGCGATTTTCATGCAAATTTCCGTGTCGCCAATTAGTTCGAGCAAACTTGGATCGCATTCAACGCACTGCATATTCACACCGCTTGCCACCGATAATTCCTGTTTACCGTGCTGCGATTGTTGGCTATTCTTTCGTTCCATCTTGTAGCGTTTGATGTGGCCGCTGGCTGATGATAGCGCCGTCGATGCGTTTGGCATATATTTTTCAATCAAATCCGATTGTATGCTTAAACTATCAATAGAATTGGTATCAAAATCGTTTTTGGAAGATAAATCAGCCGCCGGCAAACTGTCGTAATTGGAAAAGCTATAAGATATATCCGGATCGGACAAATCACGATCATACTTTTGTTTCGTGCTTGCGCTGACTACCATTTTTTTTTGGTGTTTTTTATTTAAATTTTTGAATAAAAAACAAAATATCGTTAGAATTTTTAGAGAGAATTTCATAGCATCGGTGATTTTCTTGAAAGAAAGAAATATATCAAAAATTACCATAAGACACGGGAAGTTTGATATTTCGTTCCTTTAAGGCTGTGATTTCATTGTCAATTTGTCGATTGATTTCATCTGGGTTATTGGGACACAGTAAAATGTTCTCTGGCTTAATGTCGGTATGGATGATGCCACATTTGGCGTGTAGATAATATAATCCTTGTAAAACCTAAAAGTTTCAAATTCATTTTTAAGGTGTGCTTTCTGGTTTGATAAAATTGAATCTGTGGTTGTTGTTTCAATTGTTCTCTCACCTGTCTAATAATTGATTTAACCATTTTAATGGGTAAACCTTGGAAATTATTTTTAACTATAAGTTTGTATAAGCTACAGCCAAGTGCCTCGAATACTAGGCAGGTGTGCACACCATTCACGCCACGAATCGTGAAATGGTTCAGAAGACGAACGATTTTCCCACAGTACGGATGCTGCGATTCATTTTGTCGAATTGCCTCCAATAATCGAATCTCGTCGGCCGCCGTTTCCGTATAATGCTGAGCACTTTTAATCACTTTCAATGCAACATAATTATTTTTCCTGAAACATTGGACAAATGAATGGTTTATAGATTCAGTGATTTCATTGGAACTGAGCTATTTTCAACAATGGAATGAAGATTCATAGCCCTTTGGCATTTCCAAATATTGATGTGAATTTGGGCATGTTTTTCGATTCAATTAAAAATTTAAATTGAAAATTGAATGAAAATCAGATTAAAAATGTATCAACAGCATCAAATAAAATATTGAATCGAAAATTGAGCAAGAAAATTGAATTTAAAATTGAGTTCAAAATTTAATTCAAAGTTTAATTAAAAATCGAATCAAAAAAATCGAATTAAAAATACCCAAAATTAAAAGCTAAATTCAATTACACTTACAAAATTTCGCGACACAGCCAAACAGTGGAGAAGTGTCCCCAGCCAAGTTTACGGACGACACGATAGCGATTATCAAAGACATCACCAATAACAACCGGATGATAGCCACCGCGACAATATTGTGTATCGTCTTCTTGTTCCTCATCGGATCCATACAGACTGCAATTCTCCGATTCGTGTGCAATGCCAGCGATGCCGCTAGCACCGCCGCCACCACCACCCGGATATGTGGAGGCGAATGATCGTGGCTCGGAACTAATTTTGAAACGAAAAAAATCGGCGTTAGTAAGGATTTAAGCAAAAAAAAAGAAGTTTAACTTGGCCCAAGTTTTGAGATAGAAAAAAGAAGACCAGCAAAACTTTGAGATAAAAGAAACTTTAAAAACGACATAAACTACGTAATATCTTCACTATAAAACACCTAAAATGCGCACTTCGTTTGTTTCATATCGAAAACTTTGGTAAAAATGTAAATTATGCTGAGCATAATCTGCAAATAGAGCCAAAAAGCACAAATAAACTGCAACAAACGAATGAAACGAGAAAAAAACACGCCAATAACTCATGTGAATTCCAGAGAAACAAACAAAAACCCCACTCCCCCCAAAAAAAGCGACTACATAAATTCTCTTCACTTACAGACTAACAAAAGTGCCTCTGAGAACGGGCATATCTTGGCGTCGACTCAACGGTGGCGAGATGGATAGCGATAGAAATCGATTCTGGGCCGATAGCAATGGTTTTCGTGTGCTGCACGCAGTGTGTGCAAGTTCTTTGCGCGCAAATTCACTATTGGCATCGTTCCAGCTGTTGAGCGTAGACGATGTGGTGGTGGTGGCCGTTGTTGTGTGGGTGGCAGTGAAACTCAGTAAATCATCGATATTTTGAATGCAACGATTCAACGGTGAAAAATCTGTGGTTAGATAGTCCGGTGTTTTTGGTGTTGCAATTGATGCGGTTGTTGTTGATCGGATTGTTGTCGACGATGCATCCAGTGTGTAATCACTGAATCGAAATGGTGCTACGGTTTTTGGTGTAAGACTAAGCGCATCATCCGTATCACCCGACGATCCATTGAGTTGATCCACATAATCGATGCTGTTATCATTGACACCCAATAAATAGTCTCGATACGGGCTTTTGTATTCGGTGTATGTGGGCATTGTCGACAAAATATTGTCATTGGTTTCATCGTCAATGCAATTCACGGATGATGTCAGATTATCGTTGACGTTCGATTTGTCAATGATTAATTTATCAACGAGATCGGTGGTGGTTGTTGTTGTATACGTGTCATCGGTGTTTGATGCAGCTGACAGTAGTGTCGTTTTCACCGTGGCAAGGCTATTCAGTTTCGATGGCGACAAGTAGCTATGATTATTGTGGCTGATTTTCATTTGGGCTTTCGGCTCTTTGGTTTTTTTTCTGCTTCCCAAACCTATCTCTATCTCTGCGTGTGTGTGTGTGTGTGTGTGTGTGTGATGATATTTATAATCAAACGGCGCCAAATGTGTGCAGTCGAATGTCAATCACTATGGCTGATTCATTGGCTTTTATTAATATTTCCATCGGATCGTAATTTGCACTCTCTATGCCAATGCACACACACAATTATTCAACACCCCCAATAATCTAGTGTCATATATAATAAAGCAATTGAAGTGCCGTATCGTCTGTTGTCCGTTTCACACTCTTTCTCCCTTCCTTTGCTTTATCTCTCAGCCTTCTTCTTTCAATCCCATTAAATTTCGTTTGGCTTCCTCTCTCTCTCTCTCTCTCTCTCTGTTCCGCTTATTTTTTACAACTTAATTATTGATTTTATATTTATTTCGACGACGAATCCGACGACATTTAGTAATCATAACAAAAAAGAGAGAGCAAAGGGACACACACACGAACAAAAATTTACCACGAGAATTATAAAAAACGATAAACCGTCGCGCACGATAGAGTCAGTTACATGTAAAAGTGTCAACTTGATATGATTTTTGATGATGATGATGAATTCGCGTGTAAAAATGTATAAAGAGAGAGAGTCTTTTGAGTTGCAGTTTTGTTGCCCTTTGACTTGGTGTCGATTCGATTTTGTCTATTTTTGTTCAGTGTTTACGTTAGTTTTTAAGTAGAAACGTACAAATGATTGAACCGGTCAACGAAATTCATAGATAGTCATTAGAGAAATGAAAAAAAACCGTTCGAAATTCGGTGTGGTTGTTCCTCTAGATTCGACGAACGTTCAAAAGCACAGAGAAAGAAAAACGTAATAAAAAAAGGTAAACGATTCGTATCAAAGTTAAAGCGATTGTATATCTCAGCTGACTTTGACAAAGTTCACACAATTCTGTATGCCACGCACTATTTTCTGTTTTCAATTCACTTGCTCCGCACCAACTATTCACTCAGAGTCAGTTTGGAAAAAAACAATCAACATTATTATAGTGCGCAAATCGTGTTTATTCCATTTGCGTTTCGAGTGTTTTTCACTTAAGCGCCTTTTTTTCCTTATTTTTCTTCAACTCGATGGACTCGTTTGTCCAAACCCAAATAAAATTGTCAAAAACGTCCGTATCCACGACGAAAGAAAATCCTGCGTCGATGCGTTTTAATACAAAAACAAGAAGAAAAACGACGACGATACAAATGCGTTTCTCTTGTTCTTGTTAAGTGTACACACTGAAAGGAAAAAGAAAGAAAGAAAACAACACAGAGCAAATAGCACACAGTCAATCTAACAGCAAATCAATCAAATTTGTCGCTGTATCAACAAAAAAAAACATTATTTACAAATTGTTTGCCGAACTGAAAAATTCTGCTATTTTTGTGTATTAAATCACCACAACAACAACAATAAAATAAAAACGGACCACATCTCACACTCTATCACTCTCTCCTTCTCTATGTTGTGCTGAAAAATCAGTTTCGCTTTGTCTCTGTCTTGTTGACTTGGTCACATAGGCCGATTTTCCATTTCAGCAATACGAAAAATAAAATTGCTCTATGTGCGTATGTATTATATTGTGTCCCAGTCCGAAAGAGAAAAACGAATATTGTGTGTGTATCGTTTTCCCTTTGATTTCGTTCGTTCGATATATATCTATTCAGCAATTTCATTGGGAAAAGCTCCAGTGAATTCTTTTGCTTTTGCACACCACCGCCGTTGTGTTATGTTGTTCTCTCTAGCCTGTTTCAATGTTTCGTTGACTCTCTCTCTCTCTCTCTCGCTCACCGTACTCTCCCCAATGTGTGGATATGTGACACTGGTTTATAAACATACAAATACCACCACACGCACTCCAAGCTTGCGCTCTACATTTTCCATTGTTTTGCCAAACCAATTTTCTTTCCACTAGTCTCTCTCTTCCTTTTCTTCTTCTTCTTCTTCTTCGCGCTTTCGTTGCTGCTTTTATTCCCTGTTTATGGTTCTTTCATAAACAGTTCTCGGCTGTTGTGTGTACCACTGCTACTGCTGTTGCTGTTTTTCCTTCTTTCTTTACTTTTCCACTCAAAACCAAAGTGCCAACACTCAAAAGAAAAACTTTACATGATGCTCATTCCGGCGAGAGCCACTCAAATTCCGCACTAGGGGATTTCAGCTTTATTCATATTCGCTGCGATGTTTGTGCAATTTAAACACACTATTTTGCGCCAAGCATCCATGATGAAAACTTGATTCGATCAATTTAGATGCGTTGCCATGGCAACAAGCTTAAGATTCCATTGAATTTTTGATCAAAGCACTTGATTACTTACGAATTTAACTTTAAGGCTAATTGACTCGAAAGGGATAGAAAGAGAATACAGTACGCCCTCGTAAATTAGAATCGAAATGTCCCGAGGGCAATTCTAATTCACGAGGAATTCTAATTTCGGAGGTTTTTTCAATTTCATCAAAAATCCAATAGCAAAACCAAAATTGATAAGGGAAATTGATTGTTTAATCAAAAACATCATAATTCTAATCATATTCGTGCGATACATGCTTATTACAAGTATTTTAACACACATGATCTGGCTTGTGCAATGACTTCTTTTTAATTTCGTGAACAGTACTCGACACAGCTTCTAATATTTGCGACTTTTGCCCTTTAATATAACTTATTGCAGATTCACTGACACCATAGTCTTCAGCAATCCGTTTTGCCATCACACCGTTTCCCAATTTTTCAATAATTTCAGCCTTTTGTGATAAGGACAGTGTCACTTTCTTTCGTTTTCGATCAGACATGATGACAAATAAAATAAAATGAAATTAAAAATCGATTGACGAGCTGTTATTATTGTCTTGTTGATGGCTGACAAGAGACTAAATCATAACGCACATAATTTGCGCATTTGCATTCTCGGATTGAACAAGTCCAAACCGATCTGTTCATCGATTATATTTTTGCATGTAATCTGTTTGTGACTTACTACGATTTTTTGATGACTATCGCAGAAATGCACTTATCTGTTTATTTATGTTCAACGAACTGAATATTGAGCAGCTGTTCTTATTGACCGAGTAACAGTAAAAAGAATATTTTATCATTTTGTATACATACAAATAAGTGTACATAATTGGTGTACACAAATCACAAATCTTATGGCGAATCAAATATTAGACCACTTGTTTTTATCAATTCTGCTTGACCGCTAATAGAATGCAAACTGTATTTTTATCAAGAATTGTCATTATTCTTTATATTTTTATACGATATTCGGTTTATGTTCCATGTAAATTCAAGCAAAAATGAGAAACCTCGCAAATTAGAATTGGACCTCTTAAATTAGAATTTTTCCATACAAATGTTCTAACCCGAAATTCACTTCTAATTTCGGAGGAATTCTAATTCTCCGAGTTCTAATTTACGAGGGCGTACTGTATTAGGAAAGAAGAACTTCACGGATTTTGATGGAAAAAGACGACTCTGGTCCTCATTTATGATGCTTTTCTTTTGATGATAACTGTTTAGAGAAATTATTTGGATAAATTCAGAATGCGATAAATCATTAATGAGAAATGGGGTTTTCAATTTTTCCTCTAAATTTTTTTTTTTTTCAGTGAAGATATTTTTCAAAACCATTTTCAGTAGAAAAACTAAGGTGACCAACTCCTCCAAAGGAAAAAACCGTACATTTTTCTATTTGTACGGATTTTTGGAATGAAAACCGAAAATCCGTGCACTGTTGTTCAAAATTGTTCAAAATCCGTACAAATTCATTTGAATTAGTACATAAAAAATCCGTTTTATTCCGCAGATATCCATGCAGTTGGTTGGTCACCTTATCTGGGAAAATATTTTTCTTTCTGGCATGAGTTGAAATATAAATACGACGGTTCTTGATTTTAAATGTCCAATACGATATTGATAAACTCGATACATTGCTTTTACGTCATCTTCTAAAATGGATATAAGATGGACGGTGTCGGATATCAGTTTTTCAAATAAAATAAATAAATTGAAATACTCGATTAATATTGATTACTAAAAAAATGTACAAAAATAAAAGAAAGGTGGTGGTTTTTTTCTAAATCAAAAAAAGCCATAAAAAATATTTAGTAAAGCGTTATTTGAACCGAAATACCATCTATCTTCATTTAAATTCACTCTTTTTTCTTGCCATGAATTTAGTGTGCGAAGCATTTGCGCGTCTCTGCATGATTGAGCAATGAAAATAAGGCAATTACAAGTGATTTACCTGAATCCAAAAAAGAAACACGTTCATTTTTGTTTCGTTGTTGTTTTTTCAAACATTTACATTTCACCGTATTACTTACCAGTTTCAATTTTCGCACATTCCGTGTGTTTCTCGTCATATTCGCGTTTCGCATCAGTAGCCAATGCACGAGTAGTGTATGAGTTCAAATGGTGTACGCGTATCAGGTGCACCCTGTATGCAGACAAAGACTATATTATTATGCGTAAAATGTAAATAGGCAACCATCCCCTTGCGTCCAACTGTCATTTTTATGCCATCTCCGCCACCACTGAAATGAGTGTCTTGCAAAGAACAACAGAAAAAAAACCTCATTCTCGTTTGCTTTTGAGCATTTTTAACAAAAATACTGTTGTCTATTTTTATTATTAGAATAATTTCTTTTCATTCACATATTGTATGTTTTTTTTTTCATTTCATTTTCGTTCATTAATATTCGTTCGATAGGTTTTCCATGTGGAATTCCACAGTCATAAAAATTGTCTTCCTGATCAATGTCGTCAATATTGTATTTTCTTTTCGATTCTTTTCTTGAACGGTTTGCGTTAATTCCATCACAAAAAGATGATATATCATGAATTGAATGACTCCAAAAAATGATTTTTTTTTCTTTTTTTTTCTCATCTATAATAATCACGAAACTAAATTGATTAAAAGCGAAACATTGAATTGCTATTTGTAAATATTGAGCTTGCTCACAAGCGCATCAAGTCGTATGTGTGTGTGTGATTGACACACGTGGAGTGCACGACACAGATGGCCTGTGGCAATAAAAATACTTTTCTTGGATAATTTCTCCTTATTGCCTAGACGAAAAATAAAAAAAAATTCTCTTCACTTTGATTTTTGGAATGTGTTAAATTCATTCGCAAAAAAACACACAAAATAAATGAATAAACTACTTGACTTGTTAGATGATAATAATAAATTTGACGGAAAAATGAACTATTATCTCCTTAAAAAAAAAATTCTTTTTGCAAAATTGTCAATAAATTCTAATAAATATATCAAGTTAAATCAAATCTAAATTGAGATATTTTTTTTCTTTCAATGCCATTCACTTGAAGGTTTTTGTTTTTTCATTAAAAATCATTAGCTTCATTTTACTTGAAGAACGAAAAAAATGGGAAGAAAAGAAAATTGTATGGTGAAAATGAAGCAAAACGAAAGAAAAACTCAAGCATAAAATTAAAAAAACGAAATTGATTGATGAACGTCGAATTTGACGTTGAAAAATTGACGAGTTGAAATAGAATCAACCGAAAAAGCAGCAACATGGTTTCGCTCACAAAAATGCAATCACTTTAAACGGCTTTTTTTTTTCTTGGAAAGATTATATATCTTGTTTAAAAAAAACTGTGTTTTTCTTTTCGTTAGCTCTCCATAGCGCACGCAAACACTCAACGATAGCGAAAGTAGTTCGAATGCAGTTTGAATGACGTGAACTCATACAATTAACACGCTAATTAGTCGCTGTATCGTTATAGTTTTATATTTTTCTTTTCTTCTTCTTTTTTCCCATATTTTCATGGCTGTGCGCGTCGTTGGCTGTTCGAATGGCTATTGAGCCGTATATCGAATAAGAAGTGAACATGAAAATATTCAAGTAAAATGATTTTCTGGTTGTTGTTGTTGTTGTTTTGAATATAATTAGCCATAAAATTGTATATTTTCGCTGAATGTGTGATTTTTGCTGTTGTTTCCCTTTAAAATGAACGAAATTTTGCTAGGGTTAATTAATGAACAGAAGGAAAAACAATCGTCTACTTAATTAGTTTTCTGCTTTTTTTTATGTTGCTTTACCGAAGACCGATAAAATGTTTTGTTGTTTAGATGTTTATTGCTGGATTGATAATGACAATGCTGGGTTGTTGTTTTGAATGCCGCCCATTCCGGTGGAGGAAAATTGATCTAAGGTGCTTAGACACACACATTCTAAGCGAGTAAATCTCGAATTTCCTGCTTTTCGGCGGCATCCACAAGTGATGTACCATCGGGTGCTTTGCCACATTTGTCCGCTCCATTTTCCAACAAAATCCGAACACAATTCGTATGACCTTCCCAAACGGCTGCTAATATTGGACTGATGCCATGCTTATCAACAATCTACATAGCACACAGATAACAGAGATAGGGATAGAGAGAGCATCCAATTAAATGTCAGTTTATTTATAGGCGTCAGTTCAGTTTAAGGTAAAAATCATCATAAATATTGCAATAAAAAAAAAGAAATGGTAGAGTAGAAAAGCCACAGCCGCAGCAGCAGCTGAATAATACTTACATTGACGTCGGCACCTTTGTTTATCAAATACCGAAGCACATCCGATTGTCCGTAGTCAGCGGCATAATGAATGGGAGATCGTGTTGTTATCTCTTGGTTCACATCAAAGCCGTTCTGTTCGATGAGCTCTTTCACCTGATCCAAATCACCGTTTTTAATTGCCCATATGATACTGTCATCGATTTGTGCCATTTTGACTTGCTGCTTCGTGTTTTTTTCTCTCTATCGCCCGCTTTGTGTCGACGTTGTTGTTGTGTGGTTTTTTGCGTAAATTTTCGTCACCTCTAGTGTTGCTTATGCCGGCTCTGTGATGTGCACTTTTGTAAGCCTATTTGATTGAATTACAATAGTATTAATACATCCACTTTGGACTCTCCTATTGGATTTCTCGAAAGATCGAATTACTTTTTTTTTTTCTTTGTTCCTTTCGATTTAGACTTAGAGAACACAAGCTAAACGCTCTTTATCGCCTATCGTCTCTCTTTATGCGACTTTTTTCTTTCTTACAATGCCAATTTCACGATGCACCAAGCAAATATCGAGCTCTGTCTTTTTTCCACTTCAACCGATTGATTCACTCAAACCTTTGATGACGATTTGTTTTTTTTTTCTTCCTTTCTTAATTCAACAACAATTCCGGATGATACACACGCACATGCCACTGTCTAGACCTACTCATGGAATTTTCTGGCTAATATTCAATGTTTGGTTGCTTGCCAATTTCTTCTGTTGCACATAATTGTTTGAAGTATCACACTGTTTCCAGTCGACGAATGACGATTGAATGGTACGTTTTTTTCAAAAAGGAAAACACTCATACAACTCATCTATCTATCCCGTTCACGCGCGCGCTCTCACTCACACCAATATGACTAAGCACACCAAAATGAACCATCCACTGCTTTTGCTGTCACGCATTACGGCTTACGTCAATTACGATTTCCTGCAGATGCGCTTCAACAACAAACGCTGCAATCGCTATTTTATCCATGGATTTGCAATGATTTTTTTATACCAAGTTTTTTTCAAGTGGAAATTATTTTGCTTTTTTATTTTGAAAATTATTATTTCCTTGAAACAATTTTAAAATTTGAATTGTTGATTATTGTTTGCTTGTTTAAATTTTGAATAAATGTAGTCGCGTTATCTTGTACACACTCACGAACTTGTTTGTCACGCAGAACAACAATACATGTGGCGACATCTTTTGCATTGCATAGACATTTTTAACCGATACCGAAAGCTTGAGACACATAAACTGCACTTCGTGAACGAATGCTTTTTTAAAAATCTAAATCAAAGTTTTTCTGAATGAAAGCATCAGCTTTATGAAATTCGATGAATACAAGAGATGACATTTGAATTCTAATTTTCATTAAATTGTAAACATTTTTTCTGATTTTTTTCTTATCTTGAAAATTCAAATATTCGTTTCTTTTTTTAAGATATGCTGCAGTTTAACTGAAAGTGTTTCGATCTACTTTTAAAAAAATGTCAACCTGTCATCCCATATTCTCACCTTTTTTATGATATAATTTACCGGTATATCCGGTTGATGTTATCGATTCAATAATATCGAAATAACAAAGAATCTGATTTAATTCGATTAATTATCGAGGATTGATTTATAAATGAACAATAAATGATTTAATTTGAAAATCATTCGATGAAACATGCGAATATTAGCAAGAAACCATAGAATTTCTATTAAATTTGATCGAATTGAATTTTAAAATTCAAATAATTAATTCATTGCTAAACTTCAGTACTTTTGTGTTATTTCTTTATTTGCCTTAAAATTGGAATTAATAAATGAAAAAAATATAAATAAGTCAAGTTAGACTGAGCTAAAAAATATTGTAATATTCAAATTTTTACCACAATTTTTTCAACGAAATATCATTCACCTATTTTAATTCCAAACACATACGTCATTCTCTCTCTCTCTCTCTCTCTCTCTCTCTCTCTCTCTGTTTAAATTTATCTTCAGCAAAAGTTCTCAAAGTTCATGGTATTTAATTCAATCTTAGCCAAACTTGCCGAATATTAAATGGAATGCGAATGTTGAAAGTCATGTTAAATTACGTTCATTTCATTTCCCGATATGTCCAATGGAATTAAAAACTTGGACGCAAAGTACACTTGGCCAAGGGCTTATGCATCATCTAATGAAATGTTTGCTCTAAACTTTAGCACTGAAACCCACATTCCAAAGTGAGACAACATTAAAGTTGCAAGAAGAAAAGCATGTTCCATTCAAAAAGTGTAAAATTAAATCTCGTGGGATTACCTACGACAAATGGATCGACTGAAACAGTTCGGTTGCGCAAAATTTTTAACTTTCGTTTTCTTTTCGAAATTTTTTATCTTGATTTCCATTGACATTTCTTCAATTTTGGTTGTGTGTGTGTGATAAAGTTGTTAGCCATTGCATAATGTAACATACGGAAAACTTTCGACACATTGCGACAAATTCATCAATCGGATTCCACGTGGGAATGGAGTATTGCTGCCTAACACCCACTACTGTTCGATAAGGAAACCCTCTAGTCGCCAACCCATCATGCATATAGTATATATGCCATATACACGTAGTAATGGATAACATTGCGTATGGGAATTGGGCGACATTCAAATGTGGCCGAATTGAAATGGATGATTTCTTCGCGTCCGTCAATATGCGTCTGACTTTTAAAAAAAAATGTGCCAGAAAACTTTCCAATTTGCTTTGGTGAGCGAAAACTGTTTGGCAAAGTATTAGCTGAAACGAAAAAAAAACCAAGTACCAAAAAACCAGTACAAAAGTACTAGAAGTGTCGAAAAAAAGGTACCATGAGGTCATGTTTGGACGATTTTTGTAGGTTTCGCGCAATGGTTTTCCGAATGGTTGGTGAGTTAACGTTAGATGACGACTAGCTTAAAAGTGGCTCTTTCGATAGAAGTCTCAATCCAATTATCGATATTGGTTTACTGTGTCTCTTGTTTTCCCATTTTTAATTCCTTGTGCAAAGCTGATTTGGTTTTGGGCCAGATGAAAATAGATGATGAAAGGAAAGAAGAAGAAAAACATGCGAAGTTTTGAAAAGTGCAAAAAGTGAGAAATACTGAGATTTTCGTTGTTCAAAAAGCAAACAAACGAAAATCAATTTATTAAAAGAGTATAGAATTTCTGGTGTTTCTATGAAAATGATGTGTACATATTTTTGGTGGTCGACTCAGTAGTTTCATAATCTCATAATTACTCATTTTTTTCCCGGAGTCGGTGGTGGTGGTGCTGTTGTTGTTATTGGCATTGTGTACCTGCAATTGCTTCATAAATTGTTTTCCTGTTTTGTCCATGCAGAAAAAAAAGAGCAATCTTTTGTGCAATTTCTTTTCTGCACTGCATGACTGTTCATTTATTACATTTTTTTTTCTCTCTCATCTCTGTTCTATTTCTAAACAATATCTTGTGTTCTTCTTGCCTGTGCACAAAGCATCATGGATCGAGTTGAGGGAGAAAAGTATTAAAGTATCATCAATTGCACTGGTTTTCCATTTTTGCCATGCATTGATTCTCTCAAAAGAAATTTCTAAAGTTTCGAGCAGAACAGAAGAAAAAGAAAAAAAAATTGTCTCACAATCCAAACAAAACTAGACAACCGATAAACAAAATTAATGACCCATCGCAATAGAAAATAGAAAAACAATCTCATCTTCCATTTCTCGATTTATTGTATTACAAAAGCTTAAGAGAAATTATCGAAGAAAAAACACAGTGTTTGTTGGAGAGACAACAATGACTTGGCGCATTTGGTCGTTATGCCAAAAATACGAGAACCAAAACTATCGATTCAATCAGTTTTTTTCCCAGCCTTTTTTTTGCTGCCAGCCATTGCCGGTTTTTGTTCGATGATCATCGCCAAATTCCCATTTAGTTGACTTTTTCAAATCGAATCCGCATTTGATTCTTTATCGATTTACTTCGGCCCGGACACCATCGTTTACCTGATTGCTAGCTATAAATTTTGTGCCCAAACAACAACAGAAAACACTTCCATATTAAATAACCGAATGGCAAACGATTTTCTTCGTTTTTATCGAACATGTTGTTCTTCCCTTTTTGTCTCAATGCACTCGATTCCAAGTATTTTTCCTCTTTTGACCATATGAAATAATATTACATATCTCGATTGCGCCAAAAATACTACTTCTGCATGTGTTGTCCATTTAAAAAACAGCAACACCAAGAAATACTGTCCATTATTGCAATGAAACGGGGTTTTCATCCGTAAAACACACAAATGGTTCGCCTGCCATCTTGCTCCATTCCAATAAATATGGTGCTCAACACTCAAAAAGGATAGCCCAAAAGACGAGGAGACAGAGAGAGGAACATATGAGCATTAAGTTGCATTTCATTGCGTTATTTTGCACAAGAAACACAACACTGGATAATATGCACCGGCCAATAACAACAACAGCAACAGCAGCAGTTATGCATTGAAAAGATAAGAAAATCCTCTTACATCAGCAATAATGACGGCAAGCCGACGACGACGACGACGATGATGATGACGATTACGAAGCAAACGTCAGAATCGATTTTTATGTGTTTTGTCTTCACGGAATTTGACCAACTGCTCGAACAGTCGAAACAAACCCAAAATCGTTTCGTTGCATTTTCTCTCACTTACTCTTTCGCTCATCAGTCTCTGTATCGGCCATTATTTTCCATTGTGTCTATTATTTCATAATTTTTTTTTTTGCCCTTTCTCGGACACACATGCAATTCGGTTCGTTCGGTCTGGTTACACTCTCGAGTTTCAATTTTGCCCGGCTTTTTGTTTCGTACTGCACAGAAAACAAGACATACAGAAGAGAAAAAAAATGTGCATTAAAACACATGATTAATATTTGGGACTGGGTTGAGAGTGATAGAGAAGAGTATCGTATTCACCTCATGCATGAAACGGCCGACCGAATATTGCGTATGTACGGTCTCTGTGAACTGACCAAAGAAGGGTGCATGAATTTCCGTTTCATTGGCAACATTTTTCGCTCTCTCATCGCAACGAAATACTGAGAAAACAAACAATGTATTTTTGTAGATATTTATTCCTCTCTTTTTCTGTCTCTGTTTCGGAGCCAATGCGGAACGTTCGATTCAAATTGAAATGAGATCACAAAAGTACAATACAAAAATTGGCTGGTTTTTCCCTCGATTTTTCGTTCGAAACGGAGAGCCCGTCGTCGAATCGTCAAAGGGGGTCGAGAGTTCGCGCACACGGCGCTTGTCCGAGCAATTGCATCAATGCATTGTGTCAATACATTACGTGAGCATTTTGTGCTTCTGAGTTTATCCCTTTATTCAAATTCCGAATCGAATGTCGACAATGGCGCAGACCCTTTTTCGCCATCAATGCAACAGAGCTTGTGCGGCTTCCATGGCATCCATATTTGAAATGCAGACGCTCATTACAATAACTAATCATTTATGATGGCTTTTCTACATAACAAAACGATGAATGTTCGTTTCAACAATGGCTAGTTATTGCAGCGACTCACTGACTTCGACTCTTTGATACAGCCTCACTCAGTGGAGTTTACTGTTGCCAAATTCGATAGAGACGATGAGAGAGTAAGAGAATGTGAGGGTAAGCGAGTGAGAGAGTAACAGATAAAGCAAGACATACAGAGAGTGAAATGAATAGATGTGGTCGTTTGGCGACACACGATGACGTCAATTGCAGGTATGCAATCGACTGTTGTTTCCATGAAGAAGAAAACCATTTCGTTTATCTAGCCTTTTATGTGATTAGAAATCACAAATTGAAGGTGTTCATTATCTTAGTGGCTTTTCGTTTTCCGAACAGAGATACACCCAGCATTTTCATCAATTGCATTTTAATCAGGACAAGACGACCCTTTTTCCACATCCAACCGTCTCTCTGGCACAACAACCACAACTCGATGCTTTGTTTTAGAACACATTCCGGTAATAATGAATTACTTTGTCACATACACACACACATCCCTTTTTTTCCAGAACTCGAAGCCAGAAGAAAAAAAACTTGCACTTTTTGCATTGTTATCGTCAACTCAATAGACTCTTGCTGTGTATTTGTTCGGAAAATGTATCGAACATTAATAAAATCTGTAACTATTCATTATGATGCTTGTGTTTGTGCATTGT